ACTAGTGTGTGTCTCATTTCATGTTTCTACTATTTTACTAACATATTCTATTTTACAACATGTTTTATTGTCTGTTCATTCAAGATTGTATTATAATTAATAAAACAATATTTTTTTATTGAACCAAAAAAATTCATATTCTTTGTTTCTTCATTGATAACGTAATTGTGCATACTACATGATCATGCAGAATTTTTGTATTCTTTCAAATTGAGTGTCTTTGTGTGAATGTGGATATAGTTCTCTGTTCGTTCGTATCTACACACACAGCTTTAAACTTTTCTGCGTATATTTTTAATAACACAAATCATTCTTTCAACAATTTAATTCAGGAACGTACGCTTTTGTTTTCGTTTCTCTTTACGCAAAAGTCTTTATTTTTATTACAGAGAATGGACAAAATATTTGTATTCATTATTCTCGCTGAGATTTCAGTCTTTATTGTCTGAATAAAAGAGAATAAAAATCCATGAAGAAATACATCAAGTCATTTGAACGAATAAAAGAACGATCTATACGTCAGCATGATGAGTAGTGCTGCCAAAAAAGTAGGAATCGGTTTTCAGATGTGAATGTTGCATGACATAAACCTAGAATATGATTACAAAGAATGTGATTGAAAATTACTGTAGACCTCAAGGACAGACCATGTCTAATGGATGCATCTGATAGTCGTACGGTGGATAGTAGATGACGATACGTTTGGGGCCACCTACCGATTTATTATCTTGCGAGCTTGGATCGTGTTTAAGAAGCAAATTCAAAAGGCGATAAATGCCCATGACAATCATACGACAGCGTTCGAGCGATTCACAGAAAAGTGTATCGAACGTGACTGGTACCGACTAAACCAAAAATGATATATTTTGAATTTATCAAAAACTAATAAAAAGTTTACTCTTGAATCAATGTCTGGAATAAGATCACGAATCTCGACCAAGGCTACTCGTGCTCGATTTCGCTTTCGAAGTATCTCTGGTGTTTCACATTGAACAAAGCGTTTGCCCTCAGCTAGGACTTTCTCCAATTGTAGATCGATACCACCCATTAGAATGTTTCGAAGAAGGTCGACCGCATTGTTATTGTAATAAGCCTACGAAGCATAACATGTATTAATTGTGTGCTACGCCGTAGTGCACTAGGACTCTTCCTCAATACTAAATATCATACTGATACATATCTAATTTTCTGTAATAAACCTGTGCACAAAATGATCTTTGTTCATTTGTGATCTTCGACTGATACATATGGCAATTTCAAGTGGCTTAGATCAATTAGTTACTCTTATGCTAATCAAAATCTTAAGTTTGTCGAAGTTACTCAAGAGCGACAAAGTTGATTATATGACTTTTTTCTTTTTCTGGTTAACCTTCTGATTAAAATATTATCATAAAACATGTTAGATTAGTATTTAAAATATAAAAAACTGTTCATAATTGAGTGTCAATAGAAAATGAAATTCAAGAATTCTGAATAAACTATCAAAAGTCAGTGTTCCAACAAGTGATACTCACACAACTCAATAGGCAATCAAGTACACTGTCGGCAAAAGCAGCACCTTCGAATAGACAATTATGAAATAAAGAAAAAAAAAAACAAAGTGAATGTTATTGGTACCCGATGCAAATGGAGTAGTTAAAAAGAATTGCAGATCTGCTTCGTCTGTATAACCTTTAAAACAAAGAATATATTATTAGACATTAGGAACAATTGACCACTATACCTTGTTCTACATATTGAACATTCGAATCAATTGCTGCAACAAAAAGTACAAGTCATAGTTTTGATAGGGTAAAACACATGAATTACTCAGTGTGGTTAGCGTGTGAATTCGATTGTGATGTGTAACCTTGAGTTGAGTCATATCGGACTCAATTCTGCTTTTCCTTGTTAAACTTCGAGCTGAAATTAATCCGGCCGATTTCATTTCTATTTGTCGAATGCTAAGAGCACACAGAACCGACGATTTATCAACCAAATACTTGTCTACATTTCCATGATCCAACATGGACATAATGACACATTGACGACAGTCTTGGATCGAGATTAATTTTAGATTGTAGGGATTTATTGGCGAACCCTATGATTTTTTTGTCAAGATAAGATTACTTTCTTTTCAGAGTTAGAAATATTCAAGAAGGAAATAGCATATTTCTGGGCTAGTAAGTGCTTTTGTTTTTGAAGTAGGTAGAAGAACTCTATGTTACGATTATAGTCTGAGATAATTTGAATCCGGAAATGTGCTATTTCTTTCCTAGCTTAGAAATATCTTACATTGAGAATATAAATGTCAGGAAAAGTCGATATCATATCCCATTCTTTTCGAATATAGTCAAGTTCGGTGACAAAAACAATGGTCGGTAATTCGCGACGATGAAACGAGCTTGCACGAAGAGGCATGATCAGATTTTGTAGGCCAATGCTTGGCGATGTTTTGTCTGCATGGAGGCACACGATTACATCTGCAAATGAGATCACATTTGTTCACAATAATCTTTTCGTGATTTCCGAAAGATGTGATGTTTTGTTTCATAGTTTGCAAATAATTAGCAAGCAAGCAAAAGAAAGATATTTCTTAACAAAACTCGAACACCTCCAAGCGAGTTCAATTTGAGAAAGGTCTACTTAGCAAACTAGTTTCCGTGCAAAGTTCGAATTTCGATCGCATATACAACGATGATATTGACATTGATTATTGAAGAAACACAAACCCATTAGATTATTCATAAGCTATTCTCACAAATTAGTATTCATCTCGGGTACTATCTAATCTGAATGCAAAATTCCTTACTAAATCTATAATCAACAATTACATATGTGCTATTAAATACGTGAGGCACTAGTCAAAGCATCCTTGCCTTTATTTTTGTGTAGAAACTTCAAAAGAGATTCTACAGATGACAATACAATAATTCGAACTTATTTCCAGTTTGATATCTTCTACAAATGCATGTCTTTTATCATTATTGTTTTCGACACATTCTCTATACAGCTCGCAAGATTTTATCTCTGGAATATTGCATTTGAATCTACGCACAATGCTTCTAATAGAAATTCTTCCTTTTCGAGTCCTGTTCGATGTAACTTTCGGATTCTTCGTTATGAGTAATCATACTTACGATCTTTAAAGTGAAGAGGATGTTTGAAAGCTGTTGTTTGGTCTTGTATAGTACGTTTTACACGAAACGAGGCACGATGGTCTCGAAGTAAATTAGCATCCTATACAAACAGAATGGATATTCGATGACTTTCATTCTCGTTGTCTCTGTGTTAATGACAACATACGATAATAGCATCTTCGATTTGCCGTGGTGGTGTAAAATAAAACATGCCAGTGGAATCAAAGCTTGAGACATCCTCCTGGGACAGTCTGTAAAAGAAAAATAACAATGATATTGATATACAAAACAACATATAATATGAAACTGAACAAAAAGCATACTATTATGATGCAAGCAGTATGGTAAAATAAAGCAATCTGAACCAATCATATTTTAAGCAAATGATCGCTGTTCAGAAACTTCAATACTGAAAACTGAATCAAATTCAGAAGATTTGAATGAGTGAATATAAAGCTGTTCTCTCATTTTAATTACATGCAATTCTCAATTTTGCAACGATGGAATATTTTAAAAACAAATGGACGAAAGAATGAATCACAACATACTCTTCATTATGATCCAAACATCGAGAACATCTTCGTTCAAGCTGTGACGAAATAAGAGGTTGAATAACGTCGGCATCCGATATACAACTAGAACACAAAAAGGGGCAAGAGAGAGAGAGACATAAAGATAAAAAGGCGTATTCTATTTTCAGACATTCAAATAACTCACATAATAGCATGTTCGTTGTCTTGAATATTTGGCGACTGATCAAAACT